AAGGATCTGCGTCTTGTCGGCTGCCTGAGTCATCCAGCCCCCCCAGGAATAACCGGCCACGTGCTCCTGTGGGCTCCACAGGAAGACCCCTGTCTTGGCACCGTCAGTGTGTCTATGTGCTGGCACAGCACAGCGAGGGGGCCGTCTTCACTTCCCTCTGGCCTCCCACCATCGGCGCACCTGGCCCTCCCAGGGAATCAACGTGGCCCAGGCCCAGGCAAGCCCCCTTCCCGCCAGACCCCGGGGCGATTCCTGTGCAAGCCGGGGAGAGGGGCAGCTGCTATTCTTAGCCTAGCGTGATGCGATCTGCAGTGGCAGGTCCCGTTCCACGAGCCTGCGCTAGAGCCTCCTGCGGTTCTTCATGGCCTGGTTTTTAAAACCCTCCGCAGCCCCCTCTGCTCAGCCAGTGCTGTCTGCTCCGCTCTCTAGCCGTGCTGCTGACAGGGGCTGGGCCGGCCGTGGGGGGAACCGAACAGGAGAGCTCCAGCTAGTGCCAGGGCAGGCTCTCCCCGCACCAGGGCGCCTGCCTCTGCTGAGCGTCGGAGAGCGGTTCTGAATGGGCCAGTTACCGGCTAAAGGGCTTAGGGAGCGCGGCGCTGGCGCTGGGGGCGATGCAGGCTGCAGGACTGCTGGCCTCAATACCCTGCCAGCCGCATCCAGAGGTGTCAGTCAGGATGGGCAGGATTTTTGATCGGTGCACAGGCACCTTACAAAGAGCCCGACAGGAAACCCCACTGGCCTTTTGGCTTAAAGGCCAGCGAAGGACTCCTGCTTCCCCGTAACAACCACCGCGTCCCTGCAGTGAAGCCAACAGCCCCTCCAGCCTGACCAAGGGGAGAATGTGCAACGAGGCCCAGGCGGGAGATCCAGGGCCAGGAGTCTTTCCCGAGACCCCCCCCCCACCAGCTATGGAGAGTCAACGGCACTTGTGGCCATTAACCCCTTTGCTGCTGGGGGAAGAGGCCTTGGCTTTCTCCAGGATGGGAGCGATCTTAACGAGTGCTCAGTGAATGGCACACAGCCGGGTAACGCGCTCCCAGCAGGAGCCTGCCAGAGAACTGGGGGTGGGTAGGAAGGGGGCAGGCTGGAGGGCAAGAAGGGGCAAGTTCTCCTGTAGCTCAGGGCTGGCAGGTTTCAGCTCCGCTTGGAGCAGCACATCCAGGGACTTGGTGTCAGACCGTCCTGGCGAGGACAGCCCAGTTCTCTTCCAATTGCTCCGGGTGTTCGGAACCCACTCTGCGGGCAGGGGGACGCAGGGCTGGGGAAGGGAGTTCCCTGGCGGGCATGGGGAGGGTTAAAGCGCCAGCAGGAAACTGCACTTTAGACAATTGCTGATCCTTCCAGAGCTGCTTGGGTTTGCCAGCTGGGATAGCCCCGCTCTGCGTGGTGCCCGGGTGGCAGCCCGGCTAAGGGGACTATGCGAGGGCACTCCTGAATGGAAGCCGGCAGGAGCAGGGCTGCACGCAGGCTGCAGAGAGCTACTGCCTTCAGTCAGACACCGAGCTCCTGAACGCTTCCTCAGCCAGAGCCAGGAGACAACTGGCCATGAGGCTGCAGGCCCAGCAGGGCGGGAGAGGGGGAACCTGACAGGGGGGCCTCAGCGGAAAAGGGGGGTTTGCCCAGTGACCAGCCCCCTCTTCTGCCCCTGTCCCGATTACATCTACCTCCTCCCCTCACCCTGCTCCAGCCCATCCTAAACGCTGCCCCTGAACATCACTTAGTCCTGCACTCTCACCCGCTGCGAACCATTTCTCTGGCTCTCCAAACTGCTCCCTTTTGCCTTCAGGGCCTTGCTACATCTCTGCTGGCATCCCTCCCCCCTTTCTGCTCTCCCAGGGACCCCAGCCTCCATAACTGCTCTCCCACGTGCCTCTGTCCTCAATGCCTGGGATACCCTTCCCTTCACAAACCTCCCGGGCAAATGGCGGCCCTCCCCTGAGCCACATCACTCCTAAAAACTTGCTTCTGCTGCATCACCTACAGGGAAGTACTTACCTTCTCTCCCCCTCTCCCCACCCCAGACGTGACTGACTGTGTCATCTGATCAAGTGCTAACAGGGCTCTCCTCGCCAGATCATCTAAGCAACTAAACTGAGTCATCCTCTTTTAGCAGTCTGGGTCCCTTCTTACCATGTGTTATATCCTCCCTTGTCTGTCTAGTCCATCATTCAGCCCGTAAGCGCTTTGGGACAGGGTCCTGTCTTCTGCCAGCAGCCTAGCTGCTTGGGTGCACGATGCAATTATCTCACCATTTCCAGTGAGCAAAACTCCGAGGCGGAAGTGACTTTCTGTACAGCTACCCCAAGCTCTGAATTGCCAAACAAATGGCCTACTACCAGCGAGCGCTGATTCTAAGAGGACATGTCTCAGATCAATGCATTTCCACACGTGATCCCATGTCGATACCTCTCTAGCCTTTCCATCCACAGCAAAATGCGGAGTGCTTTGCATTTTCTTCTCCAGACACAGTTCTTTACTCTGCTTTTTGTCTTATTTGTGCATCTGAGAAATCTATTCTAGGGAGACGGCACCACCTACCCTTCAGAAGGCGTACTGCAATGCTAAAATAGTACTTCTCTGGCAAGACGTTAAAAGCCCATTGAAACTGCCTAGATTTCAAATTAGCAGTGTTGCTATAACCACATACCTGCCAGGAAATGAGACAGACAAGGTGGGTGAGGTAATAACTTTTATTGGACCAACTTTTGTTGGCGGAAGAGACAAAGACAAACTTTTGTGCTACACAGAGCTGTTCCTCAGGGCTGAGCTCTGTGTAGGCTGAAAACTTGTCCTTGTCTCTTCCACCTACAGAAATTAGGCCAATAAAAGATTATCTCACCCGTCTTGTCTCTCGTGGATTTCAAGCTGACAAACAATGACTTAAATATAGTTGCAGGTCCAACAGCTCATCCTGACCAACTGCTGCGGTCTTACAATCACATTTTTCAATTGTTTTTTCTCTTCTTTGCTGCTGCAAGAGACCCAAAACAGGGGAATTGGAGTACATGAGGCATATGTGCTGTCAAAAGCAAGATTACACAAACTTTCTTCTAGTTTCTTGTTAGTTCTCTTTGTTGCTTTAACAACAGATGCATAATTTTCAGACTATGACTAAACTGGGTGTCCATTTAACAAAAGCCAGCATTTTCTTGGGCACTCTGACAGCACAATACGAACTGCACTATGCTTCCAAAAGCTTAGTCCCCGAATCCGGCCATCAGTCTGGTCTGGGTATAGTTTTACTTGGTGGAGTTTGATTCTCTCCATCCACAAAAGACTCGCAGCTCTTCTGGCAGAGAAGTCTGCTGTCATAAGTCTAGAAGCTGGGGCTTGTCTATGCTTGAAAATTAATTCAGATTAAGATAGCATGTAAATGTAAAGCACTAGCTAATCCTGAATAATTCCATGTGTGGACACTCTTATTCTAGAGTAAGAATGCCTAGGTCTGGTTTAACTTAATCCACTTTCAAAGTGGGTTTATCTTTTACCTTCATACAGCTCTTCCCTTTAATTCAAGCCTCTTTGATCTGGGAGGAAACACCCGCCAGTGTGATGCTTTAAACCTCCTGTTTTCCGGGATGACTGTTAAATAGCAGGGGAGTTCTCCACAAGTCTCCCCTTCAGTTAAGGTGGAAGCAGCATTTTTCATACTCACAATATTCTGCAACCAATGTGGGAGTTCGGCATTTCTGTGGGGTCACGTACACCACAACGCCAGGGTTCTGCTTGGCAAAGTCCAACACCTTCTCTTCTATGTAGCCTCTACAACAAAAAAGCAGAGAGAAATCAGAAGTGAGGGGTCAGTACTGTACCGCCTACGTGTGAGCTCTGTGACCCACCTTACAGAAGGCGTCAGGGTGCAGGTGTGCTCCCCCCACCTGGCACCTAGCAGCCCGCTGAGTGAGACACGGGAGCCAGGATGGAAGGTCTGAGTGCAGGGAGTAAGAGCTTAGTGCACAGATCTTAACGTGTCCTTCGTGAGTGGTCAGAGCGCCTGGGGGTCAGGGGTTGGCTGTACACTCCTATCCCCCACCCCGGGGGAGAGGTCAGAGTGCAGGGGTCAGAGCGCCTGCCTGCCCACAATAGAGGCCAGAATGCAGGGGTCACGGGACCTGTCTGTCCCAGGCAGCAGTCAGAGTGCAGAGGTCAGAGGGTCACAGCACCTGCCTGCCCCAGTCAGAGGTCAGAGTGCAGGGGTCACAGCACCTGCCTGCCCCCTTAGAGGTCAGAGTGCAGGGGTCACAGCACCTGCCTGCCCTGGTCAGTGTGCAGGGGTCACAGCACCTGCCTGCCCCGGTCAGAGGTCAGAGTGCAGGGGTCAGGGGTCAGAGCGCCTGCCTGCCCCCTTAGAGGTCAGTGTGCAGGGGTCACAGCGCCTGCCTGTCCCGGTCAGAGGTCAGAGTGCAGGGGTCAGGGGTCGGTCGGGACGCACCTGGCCCCGCGCGAGGTCTGCCCGCCGGGGCTGAAGGCCAGGCTGAGGCGCTGCAGCTGACACACGTAGCGGCCCAGCCCGTTGCGCAGGACGCTGCCCAGGTAGCGGCTCGGAGTCCCGCGCGCGGTCATGGCGCCGGGCGGCTCTTCCGGCTCCGGCCCCGCCCCGGACGTGACGCGGAGCTGTTGTGGTTCCGGGGTCGGGGGAGGATGGCGCCTTCCTTGCGGCACGTGGGGGGCCCGAGAGCGGGCGGGGGCGCGTGGAGGGCGCCGGCCTGAGGGGCGGGAGCGGGGTCAGCGCCGCTGGGGGGAGGGGGCGGGGGGCAGGAGGCGGCGAGGGGGTTGCGTGGGGGGAGGGGTGCAGGGGAGCAGGAGGGGGGTCAGGGGGCAGAGGCAGGGAGGGGGCTGTGGTAGGAGGAGGTGTAGGAGGACTCCGGGGGAGCGGGAGCCGGGCGGGGGGCTGCAGGGGGCTGCGGGGGATAGGCAGTTGCAGGAGGGCAGGAAGGGTTGTGGTAGGAGGAGGCGGCGTAGGGGGACTCCAGGGAGTAGGCGGGAGCCGGGGCTGCAGGGCGAGCCTGGTGAACTTGCGGTGCCCTGTGCGGGAAGCTGGCACCGGCAGGATGATGGGGGTGCCCCCCTGCAGAGCCCCCCTGCGCCTGCTGCCTGCGCTCGCCGGCTGGGCGAGGGGCCGGGGTGCCCCGCTGAGCACAGGGGCCCTGACTGGCCCCTCCCGGCGGCACTACAAGAAGGAGACGCTCCCTGCCTCCGAGGGCCCCATCCCGCCCGTGACCGTCACTGAGATCCGCCAGTACCTGCGAGCCCAGGGCATCCCCTTCCACGACGGCTACAGCTGCCTGCACGCGCCCAGCCACTTTGTGGAGGGGCCGGGGGAGCAGCAGCCCCCCGCCGGCAGCGCCCGCTACAGCCTCTTCATCGACAAGACCACGGGCAGCTTTGTGTGCACAGCCACCCTGGCCGAGGGCACTTGGCAGGACTTCCAGGCTAGCGTGGAGCTGAAGCACAAAGGAGTCCCTCAGGCTGGCCTGCAGCAGCTTGACGGGGCGGACCAGGCTGGGGAGGACGCCCGCCATATCTGGGACCGGGCGCTGCCACTCTGGGAGCTGCTGGATGAGGAGGAGACTCGGACGGCCAAGGCCATGTTCGGCATCTCCAAGGTGTCGGACGCCACCCTGAAACGCTTCGGGGTGCGCTATCTGAGGACTGCCCGCACCCTGGTCTTCCCCTGGTTCAGCCCCCGTGGCACCGGACTGAAGGGCCTGAAGTTGCTGGGGGCCGAGTGCCAGGGGGACACGGTACTTTACGTGGAGAACACTCTGCCCCGGCCAAGCGCCTATTACAACCTCTTCGGGCTGCCCCTGATCGGCCGCAGAGACACAGAGGTGGTGCTGACAGGCCGGGAGCTGGACACCCTGGCACTGTACCAGGCTACTGGCTTGCCCAGCTTGTCCCTACCCCGTGGGGCTACCTGCCTGCCCCCGGCCCTGCTTCCCTATCTAGAGCAGTTCAAGCGCATCACCCTGTGGCTAGGTGAAGACCTCCGCTCCTGGGAGGCTGCCAAGCTCTTCGCCCGCAAACTGAACCCCAAACGCTGCTCCCTGGTGCGACCCGGTGACCAGCAGCCCCGTCCCCTGGAGGCTTTCACCCGCGGCATGAACCTCTCCAAGATCCTCCGCTCCGCCCTGCCTGCCGGGCACAAGTCCATCATCTCCTTCCGCCAGCTGCGGGACGAGGTCTTCGGGGAGCTGTCCAACGTGGAGCAGGTGGCCGGGGTCAAGTGGGCCCGCTTCCCTGAGCTCAACAAACTCCTCAAGGGCCACCGCAAAGGGGAGCTCACCGTCTTCACAGGTGACTGGCTACCGGTGTGAGGGCGGGGGCTGGGAGAATGGGACTCCTCTGGCAGCTTCAGCCTCCATCTTTGAGCACTTCATCCCTCTGTCTTTCATTGGCCTGGTGGGGAGGGGGGCGTGGGGAAGGGTCTCTCCATTCCTGCAGAGGAGCTCTTGTCACTCCCCTTGTCATTGATAGTATTCCTATAGCCAGGACTCAGTCGAGGTGGCTGCTGCAGACTGGTGGGTTCCTGTTTAATCCTCTTTTCCCCGCCTGGAATTGGTGGTAATGTCATGCCCTGCACCGTAACAGCTGACTGTGATGTTACCAGGAGCCAGTCTGATTTCCAGTAAGGAATGAACAGCAGGAGCTGCCAGACATTGAAGAGATAAAGAGCCTGTTTTCATACCATTGGCCTTAGAAATAATATTCCCCCTTGTTCCCGCCTCCACTGGAAAATGTAAGATACCTGCAGAAGTTTCTCAAGGACTCTTGGGCACAGCTGATCCTGTTGAAGTGCATCCAGATTAACGTGGCCCAGTTTCTTTTTTCCAAGCTGCTTTAAGTAAGTGATGTGTAAATTCCCTGTGCGGCTAGCCCGCCTGTTACTGCGAGCATGGTCACGAGAGGTCGCATGCTAGTCCCGCATCACTGTTCTCATCTGGAGAGCCCTCTTGTGAGGGTGTCCAGCAGCGTAACTCAGCGCAGAATCTGGCCCTTCAGCATTAGAGACAGAAAAGACCTGTTGGGTCTCATTGAGTCCTTGACCGGAGGAGGGCTGGGCCCTACAGGATCTTCCCCAGTAATTTCCCCACCCCAGATAAGTGGCTCCCAACTAAGGAGGTTCTTCCCTAGTCCTAGTCTCTATTAGGAAGAGTTTCCTGATGTTCAGCCTCCCGCAGCATTCTCTGGCAAGGCAGGAGAGCCCGGGGGCTCTAGCTCTCATTTAACCCTATTTCCGTTGAAACAGGCCCAACGGGCAGTGGGAAGACGACCTTTATCAGCGAGTACGCCCTGGACCTCTGCATGCAGGGGGTGAACACCCTGTGGGGAAGCTTTGAGATTAACAACGTGCGCCTGGCCAAGATCATGCTGACCCAGTTTGCGGTGAGGCGGCTGGAGGAGCAGCTGGACCAGTTCGACGAGTGGGCAGACAAGTTCGAGGACCTGCCGCTCTACTTCATGACCTTCCACGGGCACCAGAGCATCAAGTAACGTATCTGCCAGCAGCCCCGCTCTTGCACATCCACCCTCGTGAGACCTTTGCACCATGTTCACCGTGGAGGCAGTGACCTGCCCCCAGAATATTTCGTATTGATATAACGCGCTGTGGGGCACCCGGGGGCGCAGGGACTTCCCCAGGGTCACACAAGAGCTGCCGGTAGAGTCGGGATTAGAACTAGGCACTTCTTGGCTCCAAGTCTCGTGCCCAGTCCACTGGACCACACCTCCGAGAGGAATCTAGGGGGTCCTGTGTTGCTATGCAGACTGTGATCTGGGGCGCTTAGATGGGCCGGTTGGAATCACCAGAGCCATTTGGTATCTAATGCCAAGTGTATGCCTGGGGCTCAAAACAGGTCAAAGACTCTGGCTGCAAATGCTGCCGTCTGTTGCGGGACACTAGAGGGAACACACCCTTGCCTCTGGGGGAAGAGAGCAGCAGCTTTACAGACAAGGAAGGGTCAGGCCTTTGGTTTGGCATCATACAGCCCAAAGTGTGTCTGTGATGCCTTCTGTCCAAAGCACCTTGTGCGTGTCGATTTAATTAACCACACCGCCCAGCCTGTAGATCGGGTGCCAACCCCTGGTGTAGCCGGTAGGCTGAGGTGGTGACTTGCCCAAGGTCTTGCAATGAGTCAGTGGCAAGCTGGGAATGGCTCTTCAGAGTCCCCGTCCCATGCTTCAACCACAAACCCCTCATTCCTCCTCTCACCTTCACAGGAACCAGCTTCTCTGGTGCCTCATTTGCCTGGGCTGAATGCGTGTGACTGAGGCAGCTTCTTCTCCTTTCCCCCTCAGGACGGTGATCGAGACCATGATGCATGCGGTGTACATGTATGATATCAGCCACGTGGTCATTGACAATCTCCAGTTCATGATGGGGCAGGAGCAGCTCACTGTGGACAGGTGACCCTCTTCCCTCTTACTTGCTGTGTTCCACTTACGCTTCCTCTCCCCGGCTTCGAAGCTCCTCATGCAGTCCTCTCTGGTGTAACCGGTGAACCTGGTTCCTTTGGGCCCCAGCTCACTTGTTCCCCTTCTTACCTGGACCCACGTGTCCCAGGGAGCCTTTCCTCATCTAGAGGCGCTGCCTGTATAATGTATTTAGGGAATCTGGTTTTATTACCATCTGCATTGTGGCAGCACCTAAGGGCCCTAAGTCATAGACCAGGCCTCGCTGTGCCAGGCGCTTTACAAACGCAGGACACAACGACAGTGCCTGCCCCAAAGAGCTTCCAATCCAAGTCATGAGTTTTTCGGTATCAGTCGATAAAATACCTTTGAAGAGAACATCCCGTTAGTCAGCGTCTGCAAAGTGAGCTCTGGCGTTTACACCGTTTCCGGGGTTTCGATTTTTTGGTGCAAAGTGTTTTCTCGGCTGGGAGTTTTACGTGACAAGAAGATCGGGGCAAAAGGGAGGGGGGAAATTGCTGCAGGTGGGTTTGTATTAGGAGATGCATTAAAAGCTGTTTTATCCGGCATGTTAGGGGAATAGGAGGTGCCGGTAGGTGAAAAATGCCGGTTAACTAAGAGGGAGGGAGTTTGGGTGTGGGAGGGGGTGGGGGCACGGGGTGCTGGATGCGGGGGGCGCTCATCTCAGGCAGCTCCCCGCAAGCGGTGACCTGTCCTGGCTGCTCCTAAGAGGAGGCGTGGCAAGCAGCTCTGCACGCTGCCCCTGCCCTGCCCCAAGCGCTGCCTGGCCAATGGGAGCTGTGTTTTATTTCCTAGAATGATTTTGTGCTTCTCCAGCCCCTGCAGAATCTCAAGGAGCGTTGCAAATGTAGCAACCTAACATACAGACAGTGCACAGGGCTCACTTCAGCCACTGCTGAAATGCGGTCTCTTCTGGGGAGTGAGGGGGAGCTGTCTGACAGTGCGCAGCAACACCAGGTAGCATTTTAGTGCTGGAAGGGCGCTTACTGGACTGAAGCGGCAGGGGGTTATAGGGAGACAGAATGTACCTGAGTTTTGTCGTTTGGCCTGGAGCCCAGGATTATGGGGTCTTTGTGATGCACAAGAGATGAGCACTTTGGTTTCTATGTAGCAGCCTTTCCTTTTAAAGAGGCACCGCTTGCAGTTTGCTGCAGCCTTGGGAAGCTGCAGTCAGGACCCCGTTGTGCCGGGCACCGTAAAAACACGGCAAGAGACAGACCCTGCTCCGAAGATCTTAGTCCAAAAATAGATTGACATTGAGATTTCTCGAGCGCTCGGGTCCCCAATCTCGATGGGGATGACACAGGACCAGGCCCTTCATCTCAGCGCCTCAAAGTGCTTCCCAAACATCAGTGGCCAGAGCCTCTGCTGATGCGAATGGGTGCAGCTCCACTGAAGTCAACCCACCGGCACCTCTCTCAATCCCCACGTGGGGCAGGGAAGCCTTAGTAGAGGGGTACACTGAAATGCAAAGAGATTAAGCAACTTGACTATGGTCATGCTGGAAGTGTGTGCCAGAGCCGGGAATAGAACCCAGGAGTCCTGACTCTGTCTGCTGCGCTCACCGCTGCATGGCGCCCTAGCTGCTAGCAGGAAGGATGGGGAGAGCCTGGGACTTGGGTGCTGTGGGTTCAGTTGCCCGCTGTGCCAAAGACTTCCTGGGTGGCCTTGGGCAACTCACTCAGTCTCTGTGCCTCAGTTTCCCATCTGAGCAATGGGGACAGTAGCTCTGCCCTGCCTCCCAGGGGCATCGGCTCCATCAGTGAGCCTGAGGTGCTCAGGTACTGCGGCGACGGGAGTCAGACAGTTCCTAGAGAGATGGATAATCACCAGGAAATGAAAGACGTAGAGAAACAGTGTCTCAGGCAGGGCTCATTTCACTTCCTAACAGTGGTGTAAGTTTCCCCTCTCTCCTCAGAATTGCATCTTGCCCTCACTTCATGCCCCACTGCTGTTGGGAACACCCCTCTCTGGCCAGCTGGTGACTGGCTGGTAGCCTGCTGCCGTTTACCATCCCCCAGCCCCATGTGAAATGACCCCCTCTGCTCGCTAGCTGGATGGAGAGCGGCATGTTTGATGCCACACTTTTGGCTCTTGGGCAGGGCCCGGTACCCTGCAGGAGCGGAACTTGTGACTCCCCAACGTTAGGCTGTCCCCTTGGGTGCCGTCAATGCCTATAAACTGGAATCGCCTGACTGCTCCTGTGAGAAGGGCTGAAGACAGGCTCCAGGGCTCTCTGGATCACAGGGAGGCCGGTCTCTTTATTCTGCTCTCAGATTTCAGCCCATCCAAACCCCCAGTTTATTGCTGAGATGGAACAGTGGGGGCTTGATCTTGTAAAGAGCTCTGCTTTTTAAAACTGGAGACAGCATGGCCATGCCTGGAAGAGGCATTTTTTTGTTCAAAGTCAGTAACAAGTGTTCTAGGCTAATGAGGGTGTGCTGAATCCAGATACGGTTGTTCCTAAGCTGTGTGTTGTGTACAAAGGCTTCTACAGAGAGGACGAGGCAGCCCATGGAAATCACTGACGGTTCAATCTTTACTACCTTTGCGTTTAGGATTAACAAACTTCAGTTGGATTTTATTGAGCTGCAGGATGTAATAAAAGCGAGCAAACAATATGCACAATCTTTGCTCACGCTATTGAATTTCAATTTTTATTTGGCAACAGGTACTCGGAATATTTGACTGTAATATTTCCCACCAGGAAAGAGCGTGTTTACGCGGCTGTTATATATTGAGCATTAGCACCTTGAAACAAAAGTGTGCAAGCTGATTTAACTATTAGAAACACAACACCTCATCTGAAAACACCTGCTTTGAAAACAAGTGAAAGTACTTTCTTGACTGAACGTTAAGAGGACATTTGAATGCACGCGTGTTAATGTTGTACTAGATCAAGAAACTTTGGGTCTTGACGGCGGCAGATTGAATCAACTTCGGTTTAGGTCTCTTGTTATGACACAGCTACTTATTTAATGCAACCATCCTAAGTGTCAGAGACATTGACACAACCTTGTTCCAGTTCTCTACGTTTGCATGCTCCTGCACAAACAAGCCATGCTGTCCTGTGCCTACATCACTAACGTTTGCACCCTCTTGTGCAGCCACAGAATATGGTGGTATTGGTGGTAGTGATATGAGCTGTGGCACCGGACTCTGTCCTCTTGTTTCCAACCCATTGTATTTGGTAGAGGAAGTATTGGATTTGGGCAGTGGGCCTGTTTCCAAACTAGTGCATGGTAATGAACCCGCTGTATGTGGAAGAAAAGAGCATGACTCGTTGGGGGTAGAGCTTCTGATGACTGACGTGTTGTCAGTGCTGTGAGCCTCTGGCAAGCCAGACACTTCACAAACGAACTCTTCTGTACCTGAGTCCAGCTCTCCCTGCCCAAGGTGTGTGAGAAGCTGATGGTGTCACGTCTTCTTGCCGTGGTCAGCAGTAAAGGAGGTAGAACCACAACCAGGCAGGGCATGAAATGGGAGCAGAGATTCCAGAACAGTGGGTCTGTAGTGTCATTTCTCACATGAACAGGAATGGGAAAGTACTTCGGTTCCCTGGCTATGCCAGTGTTCATCCGGAGCTGCCTACGTGTCCTTGTGCTATAGTGAGCCAGCGAAAGGCTCTGCGTTCCTGCCTGTCGCCATTGCAGTAGACAGTGTACAACCATTCTTGTGTCGTCTTCCTGATGTGCACACAGCCGACTGGTGTCGAGCGCCATGCTTCAGCCTCACCCGGAAAGCCACCAGCCAGAATGATGGTTTTATCACACGGTGCTTTTGTCTTTAGTGGCTCAGATAAAAATATGGCGAAGTCCTTCTTCTTTTCTGGAAGTGCAATGAGATTTCACCCTGTTACTTGGAAGCGGCATGTATCTGCCTTCCACCACTCTTCAGATGAGTCTTGTACCTCTTGACCATTTTTGCCTTGTACCATCCTTAATAGATTCTTGTCCTCCCTGTGGAAGTCTGCTCCTGTCCTACCTACTGTTTTTACACATATCGCTGCAAGGTCTCCAAATATTTTGGCTCCAGACAGCTTTCCTGTGGCTTGTACATCTACCACAAGACATCTTCTCCCAACAGGGGCAACTGTTGCTGGGAACTGGACATCAGCTGTCAGTACAACACCCAGTGATGCTTCTGTGCCTGTTCTGAGACGGCCATGTGCCTGCTAATGCCAGAAGGAAAGGCATTAACTTATAATTAAAAATCTGTGGCAAATTCGCAGTCACGGCTTCATAGCCACCAAAACCTGAAGTTCACACGACCTTGACCGTGGCTCGTCACAGAGGTGGAGGTGAGATCTTGTGAAGTACAAACTGACGTGAGCTCACCATAAAAGTATGACCCGTTGCCTCTGTGCTTGAAATGTCAGATTGTGAGCCTGCGTCGCCCTGGCATGTGGCTTGCCATTCAGAGCTTGTTCTGTTGAGTTTGGTCCAAGAACTCCACTTCCCATCCAGGCATCTGCTGGCCCTGACGCCAGTGTGTGCCGACCTGTGTGTTTCTGAAAGTTTATTGAGAAGTGGAGGCCTCCTAATCCTGATGTAAGCCGCTCTCTGTTCTCTGGTGTGGCCCATTTTAGTTCCATCAGTTTACAGTACAGAGCTCAACAGAACCATGTACTGCTGCCCAAGCACTGACGACATGTTTGCATCTCTCCAGTAGTCGTTATTTCTGGGTCTGTTGTCATGTGCAGTTGGTTGAAATGTGTCCACCTGGAGTTCTCGTTTGGATGTTTAACGATAAAGCCCATATCAGAAGCTCTTTGCTCCATTGCAGGTTTGCAGTTTTCTTCAGATTCAGAGCACCACGCTTTGCAAATACAGCCCTTGAATGGACTGGTTTTGCTTTCCCATTTCATACATTGGCTCATGCGATTGTGTCGATGGCATCAGGAACATGGAGTGTGCTGCAGTTTGTAGGCTTTGGGTCAGTCAGTATCGGATACGGAGCAGGTTGTCTCTGCCAAGCGGCGACTTGGGTTGCATGAGCGTTTGCCATCCAGAGAAGAGCATTTATGTCAATTTGGCCGGCTGTGTAGTGAACAGACTTCCTGGGAATCGGGTTGGGAGAAGGAGCAGCACCGTTCTCCATAGTTCGGAGGGTTTTCTCTGCTAGGGCTGTGTCCACCTTTGAGATTCCTTGGTAACTAATGCAGTGGCCGGCCTTATGGCCTACGACTCCTACCACTGATGTAGGAGTGTGGAATTTCAGGACCAGCTTCCTATGCAAAATTGCTGTAACGATTCCCAACCTCAGATGGCTCCAGAACGTGGCCTTGATTGGCCACAGGCAGAAGCTCATTCTGAAGCCAAAGCGTTGCTGTGTCAGTAATTTTGCTACCCTCACTCTTTGTCATCACAGACCCCACAAACGGGATGTAACCAATCAAGTGGTTCTTACCTTTACGGCAGCTAAACAAAGTCTTGTTTTGTGGCCAGACACCGCCTCCTTCATCTGTTCATTCATCTTGAAAGTAGTTACAGAGATGAGCTTCTGTTTAAGGGGCACTTCTTGACAAAAGATGCAGCATCTCCAGTCCATAGGTTTCACAGAACTAGACTGGCTTGTAATACAGACACTGGTGTCTTTATTGGAAGCACTACAGTTTGCCACATATCAGTTGCAGATCCTCTTGCTTTGCAGAACCGCTGGATTGTGCCTTTGTCAGCGTATTGGGCACGGCAGTTTCTGTGCCATGGGACTGATACCGTCTGACCTGAATGAAAGATGGACTCCATTCTGTCAGTGGCCGCTCTGTGTTTGACATCTTGCGTCTTCTCTTTACTGGCTGTGCCTCTCCCCCCCCCCCCCCCCCCCCCCCCCCTGCTTTACGCACATCTTCTCTACTTGATTCCTGGCAAATAATCCACAGACTAGGAAACTCAGGTGGCTCTATTGAGACTTTTTCAGTTCCATGTTTTACTGACAACTGTGACCAATAGGAGTGTCATAAACCACCGCCCCATCAAACTACTGTTGCTGTATTTGTAAAATATATCATCCCCACCGCTTCTGTGTTAATTCTCCCCTAACCCCAAAGCATGATGGGCTATGAAACCAAGGCCAAGCATTCGAGAAAATGATTTCACGTATTACAGGAAAAATAACTTCTGAGTTATGATTAACTTATTGCTAATATTAAGGTCTATGGATGACTGCATATTGTAAAGAGTTGAATACTAGGGTGCAAAAGGTGTTAAAGCCATGATGTGTGTCTTTTCAGTTCTGTTCTTAAGAGACTGAAAGGGAATTTTGCCAGACAGTGACAAGTTCAAGCACACCCAGTTGGTATAGCAAACCTTTCTAGGGAATTTTAACAGCTGTGTTTGCTTGAGGGTCTAAGCGTCAGAATTCAGCTTGGTGACAATCGTTTTCAAAGCCAACAGGTTCCAGTTATGGTAGAAGAAGTCGGTACCAGCTTTTAACAAAGAGTGCGACGAGACCCTTCTAGAGGATGGACTGAGATTTCTGTCTAGTCGAATGGTCCCATTTGTTGGAGCAGGAATCTGGCAATCAGGACTCCTGGGTACTAGTCCTGCCTCTGCCTGGCTGTGTGAATGTTGGGGAGTCCCTCTCCTTCTCCCTGCCTCCATTTGCTCATGTGTTAAGTGGGGATAATGGTCCTTTGAACCGGCCACCTCCATGGAGCTGTAGATGTGCAATGTGTCTGAGCACCTCATAATCATTAGCATATTTATCCGCACAGCACCCTTGTGAGGCAGGGCAGGGTTGTTACCCCATTTCGCAGATGGGGAACTGAGGCACAAAAAGGCTAAGTGATGTGCCCGAGGTCACCTAGTCTGTGGCAGAGCAGAGATTTAAACCCAACTCTCCCAAGTCCTCGGTTCACACTCCAACCATTAGACCATCTTCCTCCTCAATTGTTGCCTGCATGTTGGAAGCACTTCCCAGAGCCGTGCCACAAGCAATTTCTCTTCCTCATCAGCCCCTTGCTGTCTTGCTGTTCTAGACTTGCCGTCCAAGACTACATCGTGGGCGCCTTCCGAAAGTTTGCCACAGACAACAGTTGTCACGTGAGCCTGGTCATCCACCCTCGGAAGGAGGACGAAGAGCGAGAGCTTCAGACGGCCTCTATATTTGGGTCTGCGAAGGTGAGCGGCTATTGGGAATAACCCCAGGCTTGGATCTGCTCAGGCTGTGTCAGCAGCTGGCCAGCAGTCGTGTGTCGAATGGAGCAATTTACAATGGCCTGTCTTAAAAGAGTTGGTGGCCCATGCGGACTCCATCTCCCAGAATGCAGTGCTCTGTTGTGATGAGTCTTCCTGGCTGCGGGGGCCCTTGTATATGGCTTTGCACGGGATAGAAACGAGCCTGTGCCCATGCGGGGCTGTTCCCTTCAGCATTGGTAGCGGTTCCTGCACTTGGGTCACTGATAACTTCTGGTCTCAGCCCAGAGAGGAGCGGGTGTCTTGTAAATTGTGAGTAAAACTGGTTTAGGCAGATCCGGGTCTGGCACCTTCCCCTAGTATCGAGAATCCGCTTCCATAGCTCGGGCACCTAGGAGTGAAACTTCCAGTGGGTTTGTTTTGCAGTCCTGGTGGTAGCGCTTTCTCCCTTTGGGACCAGGGCGGGTTGGGAGCCCTCTTCAGGGAATAAAATAAAGAGTTAACAGCGGGACGTCAGCTAAGGGCATGCTCTGGTGAAGGAGAGACCTGCAGACACTGCAGTGAGGGAGCCAAGCGCCTGGGAAGAGGACACAGTCTGGAGGTTTGAGGATTGAGCCTGATTCTTCATTTGTCTTTCTCGTTGATGCTAAACTGGTGTTTGCTGTTACACCCGGAGCGCTGGAGCTCTGCCGGCTTAAGCCCCGGTGTAGGCGCAGCTAGGGCGACAGAAGAATTCCCCCATCGACCTAGCTCCTGCTGCTCGGACAGGTGGGTTAACTACGCTGGCAGAAAATCAGGAAGCTACAGCGCCAGAGCCGTGCCAGCGTAGTGCCCGTAGTGTAGACGTACTCTTAGCGGGGAGACTGGGGCGATGTGTGCATGAACAATCCTCCCTGAGCTGTATGGGGCTCTCTAGGCTAGCTGGGAGCACACAGTCTCTTAAAGGGGGGGAGGGGGTGTATATGAAGGCGAGTCCCGACATACAGCGGGGCATGGGGGCCACGCCAGGCTGCAACAGGCTCCTGCGAGCCACAGTCGTACATCTCGGTTCAGTGGGTTTGTCCTCACATTGCTTTAAACGGAGAGCCTTTGAGCTCCTAGTTTAACCCCTTCAGGGACAGCGTGGCAGAAAAGCAAGGAGCACAGGGGCTTTCCCAGCCACTGGAGAGTGACAGCTCATTGCAAAACCGACATTCCTGAGACATCACTGCCACACACCCCCCCCACCCACCCACTCCTCTGAGTCAGGAGTCTTGTCAGCGTGTCAGGCTAGGCAGAGCCCCTCCTGCCGCCTCCTCTCTCTCTAGCCTGGGCTGCCCCCCTCCCGTGGTCTCTGCCTCCTTTTGCCAGGTGCCCAGGGTGAGAAACTCCAGCCCTTTTCCCCCAGCCAGGCTCCTGCCTAGAGAGACTTCATTGTTCCGTGGGGTCGGGCCAGCAAATCCAAGCTGATGGGCCGAGGTTGCTCTGGAACGGCTTCCCAATCCTACTCATTCAGCCCTTTCCCAGCCCAGCACCTGTCGGGAATGCAGCCCCCAGGCTGCCCTTGGCGAGGGCTGGTAACTTCCAGCGCAGAACCAACTGGGAGACAGGGTACAAACAGAATCTGACACAGGCACGTCCCGCTCTGTCCCACTCACAGTTCGGTCATTGCCGATCCCACCGCGCTTTCCCCAAGCGCCAGGGGCTAAATTCCAATTGAGCGAGTCATGCTCCGCCTACCGTCTCCTATAGTTTTAATTGGCCGTGGAATTCTTCACTTCCTATCCCCTAGTGTTGCTGGGTGCTGTTAGATGTGCGTTCCACCCCAGAGGTGGTTGCATTTCCCAGGTGCACAAAGCATTTATGTTTGCATAGGCGCTGTCTGAAGTGCTCTGGGACCCCTCAGTCTGACAGGCGTGTGTCCAAGTCCAGGTACCTCTCTCCCCATGGCCTTCTCCTTTCTGTCTCTCGCACCCAGGCCAGCCAGGAGGCTGACAACGTGCTGATCCTCCAGGACAGGAAGCTGGTGACGGGGCCAGGGAAGCGGTACCTGCAGGTGTCAAAGAACCGCTTTGATGGGGACGTGGGGGTCTTTCCCCTGGAGTTCAGCAAAGCATCCCTCACCTTCTCCACCCCTGTCAAGGGGAAGGCCCGGCTGAAGAAGGTGAAAGATGACAATGGAGCGCCGCCGAAGCAGGCTCCAGCTGGGGGCAGCGGGGCCTCTAAGAAGCAGTGACCCAGCCCGTGGAATGGGCTGCTCTGGTGCAATCCCTTCCCCGGGGCACTCGGCCAGTGTGCACACAGCCCTGAGGGGAAGGGGCTGGTGCCCGGTGCTGGGGCAGAGGCGATGGGGACGCAGCACAGCCAATCTCCATCGGAGACTCTCAAAGCCAAGGAGTGTTCCCTGTGCTGCTGCCAAGCTGGCCTGGCCAGGCCTGGGTTTGCTGCAGCTCCTCGCCCCTCTGTGGGGGACCTCGGGCGCGTTGCGTTTGGGGAGGAGGAATCGCACACCTGCCTCTGCGTTACAGTCAGACGATAAGTTATAAACGGGCTCTTGGCTTAGAGCCTGCCGGTGGCCCACGACACCTCGGCTGACGGAAGGCGAGATGGATACAGGCTGGCGCACAGGGGGAGTCCTGTGTGTTATGCCCCCGTCCGTTCGCTTAGCACAGGTCCCCGTCGGTTTGTCCCTGGGGAGCCGTATGTCCGGACGCTGGGGTGCCGAGTCGGTGGAGCCTTCGGCCTGGATGTCCGTTTGCCAGACCCTCTCTCCTTGCTCCCGTCCCTGGAGTATTTCAGCCAATGTGGGTAAATCCTGACCCCAGACCCTGGCACCGAGCAGGACACGGCGCGGGTCACAAGCCAGTGTGAGTTTGCCAGGGGCTTCTCCACTCAGTCCCAACTGCACGTCTGGTCTGTGTCATAAAACTGCTGCTGAATTAGCTCCGGAGACCTCCCTCCCTTCACTCCAGGACTGGTATGGTGGGTTCTGCAGGCCCGTCTGGAAGGGCACCAGCAGAACTGGGCAGGTCCTGGGGCTGGGATAGCAGTGGCTGCGGATCAGGATTGAGAGGCACCGGCAGAGCTCTGCAGGGCTGGGCGAGCAGGGGGCTGCGGGTCGGGATTGAGGGGCACCGGCAGAGCTGTGGGGGGCTGTATGTGATGAATGAGGTGCATAGCCAAAGCTGTGGGTTGAGGGATACCCAGCTCCAGCCCACACTGTCCCATGAATCCCTCACTTCCACAAGCCCTGGGAGAAGGCAGGAGGGGAAGGGGGGTGCCCAGTGACTTGGGGGCTCATGGCAGAGAAGCAGAAGGGACACAGTTGATGGCACTTGTTCTTGCCTGGTGCCCTTAAGGCAGATTGTGGGGTAGGATTCTCTCGGATTCGAATTGCCCCACAATCTGGGGGAGAACAGGCCTGTGTGAATGCACCAGCAATAAAATCCCAGCTGTTCAGCTCTGCCCTTGCCCTGCAGCAGGCCATGCTGTAGTGACCTCTGCTCCGCTCAGCTGGGCTTGGATTCCAGCCCTCACTGCCCCAGCAGCGCTGGGTTTCTTTGAAGGTCAAATAATGCTGCTTGTGTCTGAGGCGGGGCATTGTGAAGGAAATGGAGCCCTCCAGTGCATGGGATGGGGGGATTTCTGAGAGGGTTTTATAACCGTGGTCCCAAAAGACATTTCAGAGGACAGTTTGGATTTATTCCCTCCTTCCCCAGGGTTTGGAACCCAGACATTGCAGCCTCGTGCTGGTGCGTGGGAACTGGACCCTGAATCTGACTTCACTCTCAGCTGACTGGAGCTCAGAAGGCAAAGGGAATCCATCATGCAAAGTAAATTAGGGTTTTATAAATCCCTCTGGCTAGGCCTGGCCGTGCTGGCTGGTCTCTAATGTGACCGTGATTATGAAATGGTTTGCAGAGTTCTCCTTGTATGGCCGTCTGCAATCCCCTGTGTGCGTAGGAAGGCAGACTCGGGGGGGGGGGAAGTAGTTTTCAGTGTCGAATGCTGAATACTGTGATTTGGGGTCCCATTGCACTAGGAGGGAAAAACCTCCACAGTGATTGGCTCTCTGCAATAATTTTGTACACACGAGGGTGTGAAAAAGATCATGTTGATCGGATATTTTGTCTACAGCTTGTCATTTGATTAAAAACAAAGGTGGCTTTTCCATGCTGCTTTGTCCTGGTTTTGTCCACAGGGTGTCAGTCTGCGTTAGACTTTCCTTTCAAAAGGAAAACTTGATGGAACTTTCCTCAAATTCCCAGGCTCAGGGGCAGTTCCTCTGCGTAGCACTAAGCGTCTTGATTTTACGCTGAGCTCAGAAATCTCCATTCCTCAGGCGATGGCTGCTGGCTGAGCCAGCACTTTCAGAGCGTGGGTTTGCTTTACCTTTGAATGACCCTTTGAAATTCACACAGGGCCAGATTGTGAGAGCCCCCCCACTCCCGGTGGGTAGACTCCACGTCCATGGAACAGTGAATTCACAGCAAGAGTGAAGGTGCTGGAGAGGGAGAGAAATCCAAACGCATCCCTGGAATACCACTGCTGGAAGGGTGTCAAGTGATTGACATCTGCTGAGTAGTGTCAGTCGACTGCTCTTGTAGGTGCAGTCTGTGGGCATACCCAATCCAGCCGCCCGCCGTCAGAGAAAGGAACCCGCCTGGATGATAAACACTCCGATCTCCATTACTTAGGAGGACGAGGGGTGTGCATCGCATGTCGTAACAGAACGAGGATAAGTACCGTCTGCGTGGGAATTGGAGAGGTGTACAGCCCGAAATCCCTAGTAGGGCTCCAGAGGGAGGAGGAGAGACCTCTCCCCAGGGTGCCTGGGCTGTCTTGGTGCACGTGCTGGGTTAGATGCTGAACCAGAGAGCTTTGTGCAGACAAGTCCAGGGATACGCCCGTGCCCAGGTCTGGGGTCAGCGCCGATCAGGAGGAGGCCAGGTGCCTGGACAGTTGTGGGACAGGAGGGTTGCCATGGTATCTCCTAAACATTGCCCTGAAGAGCCCATATGGGGATCCCGCCTGGCCTCCGCCTGGCTGCAGGAGCCCCTGGAACGCAGCGGCTCTCAACAGGCTGAGGTGTAAGCTCTGTGGGTCACCTCTTGGTACCTCCAGCCCTCCTCAGCGCACCCCAGTCACACGCCCCATGCGTCCTGCAGCCACCCCACGGGCCTTTGCCTTAGGGAGGGGGAAGAGATGGATTCCACTGTCCGTCTGTCTCTGGCATGTTCTTCCCTCTAGTTTGAGAGCTCCACCCCCAAAGGGGCTCGCTGGAGCCAACATCCTTGAGCTTAGAGGTGCGTGAGGGGCACCCCTAAACCGGACACGGATTGGATTGTGTAACAAGCAGCACCAGAATCGAATGCTTCCTTGCACCCCCAAACGTCCGGCATGTCCCCGGCCGGGAGCGGGGTTGGGGTTCTGCAGCTGGGCTCCGGCTCTGGTGCAATGCGGTTTGTAACCCTGGCAGAAGCAGAGGGGGTGCCAGCCTGAAGCGATTTTCAAACACCCTTACTAGGCGCTACCACCCGGTTCCCCAGCCTGGTTCACCCCAAAGCACTTCACTCTGATCTAGCGTGTGTCGCTAAGGGAAGAAACCGCTGCTGCCCCTACTGAAATGCAGCCACCTCTGGGGTGTAGCCTGGCAGCTGTTTAACGGTGTGCACACATCCCACATGTGAGTGAAACTGCCGGGGGAATGCAGGGAGGGAGACTGCACTGCCTCAAGCTGGGATCTGACTGATACCCGCAGATACCTGCAGCTCTTTAACAGCCCCGAGCAGTCAGGGCCTGCAAACTTAGACAACCAGCTGCTCCCTTTGCACTTCACGCCCTCTGCCATTAAGGGCAAGCTGGTTTTTCATGCAGTCAGTTACTCCTACCACTGGGCACCCTGCTAGCCACAGACTTCAAGGGCCTCCTCTCAAGCATCTCTCGAGCTGCTGCTGCTCCAAGGAGACTTGGAGGGAGCGAGGGCCATGCTGGGGCCCCGGCTGCTGGTGGGCTGGGAGAATAAACTTCCCCTGGGCGCGCTCTGCTGCCTGCCTGCCAGATTTCTGTTGCTCTAGTCCAAACAGTAGCCTGGCTATGTCCCCTTCTGTACACGGTGGGTGGAGCTCGCTGTCTGCCCTGCCCTGCTCTGCCCAGCCCTCTGCCCCGGGCTGACCCCGATCAGCAGAACGCTCTCACGCTATGGGCTGGGACGTGCCAGAGCGAAATGCCATGGGGGAGGTGTATGCAGTGTTGTGGCAGCCGTGTTGGTCCCAGGCTACGAGAGACAAGGTGGGGGAGGTAATATCTTGCGTCGGGCCAACTTCTGGTGGTGAGAGAGAGGAGTTTTCACGCTACACAGAGCTCTTCTTCAGGGCCAGGAAACTTACTCAGAGCATAACAGCTAAACACAAGGTGGAACAGGTTTTTAGCAGAAGTAGTTAACACACATTTCAAGGGACCATTTAAGGTGAAGTGGCCCATTAACTTCCCCCAACCCCAGTCAGAGGGGGGAAGAAAAAAACTGGGGGCAGGGGTTGAATTTGGATGATAGATTGTTGTAATAAGCCATAAATCCGGTGTCTCTGTCAAGTGCGTGGCGTAGGGGCTCTAGCAGAGTTATGAATTTAAGCTCCCAGGCTCGTCTTTTGAAGCTGTCGTGCGGGTTTCCTTTGAGGATGAGGCCCGAGAGCTCAGAGACAAGAGTGATCGCTTTGTGAAAAGTGTTCGCCCACAGGTAATGTGGTGGTTTTGTGTTTGATCCTTTTCCTGTGTGAGTTCATTCGAGAGCGTCAAGATTGTCTGGTTCCACCCACAAAGTTGTTGTTGGGGCATTTAGTGCACTGGATGAGGTACACCACGTGTTGTGATAAGTGTGTGTGGGACCCATGGATCTTGACAGGTGTGTTATGGAGGGTGTTGATCATTGTATCAGTGGAGTCTGGGGGTTTGGCATCTGTTGTTCTGGCAGGGTCTGGTGCCGCTTTGAGTTGGTGTGTCCTGGTCTCTAACTAAATGCAGGTAAATCTCACCCTCAGAGATGTTCCAATAAACTTCTTTTACAGACTAGACTTCCTCCTAGTCTGGGTCCAGCAATCACTCACACCCCTGTAGTTACTGTCCTTTGTTCCAGTTTCTTTCAGGCATCTCTTTGGGGTGGAGAAGCTATCTTCTGAGCCAGCTGAAGACAAAATGGAGGGGTTTCCCAGGGCCTTATGTAGTCTCTCTTGTGGGTTGAAACCCCTTGTGTTTTCCTATGCAGAATCACAGCTACAAGATGAAGTTTTGGAGTCACATGGGCAAGTCACATGTCCATGCGTGACTCAGTTCTTTACAGGCCGACGCTTGAACGTTCCCAGGAAAGCTCAGATGTGGATTGGCGTCTCTCAAAATCCATTGTCAGTTTAAGTGTTTCTTGATTGGGCAATTACTGAGAATAGTCTTTTCTCAAGAAGCTGGCCAAATGTTCCACGGAGGCTACTTAAAATCAAAGAAGTACACAGCCAATATTCATAACTTTGAATACAAAAATGATACATGCATACAAATAAGATGAATAGATTCAGTAGATCATAACCTTTGCAGAGAGAGGTTACGTGGCATATGTAGCATAAAACATAGTCCAGTTGTGTCATATTTACACTCATGAGCATATTTCTATAAAGCATTATGGGGTGCCACGTCACAGTCTTGATGCCAGCTGTGCCACTCATGCAGCATCTCATGCCTCAGGTGAGTCCAGCAGGGGACTTGGTAAGAGCTGAAGGCAGATCTTTGCTGGGGTGTATAGTCAAGTGACTGGGAGGAGAAGTGATCTGTGTCCTGCACCTTTCAATGCGCTGCCTGTTCTGCTCCAGTTCAGAGGCTGACTGCTAGAGTGCGCCGCTGGGTGCTCTCTCACCGAGGGAGACTTTACGTTGGTTCTTTCTTGGCCGGATTTTCCTTAATCTGAAATAAATCGCCTGGAAATCCCTGCCCGGCTTGACCCGTCTGTGTTTGGCCCCAGGCGGCTGCAGAGGAGCACAGCAAGTTGTATTTAAACATAGCCTTCGCTCTGCTTGGCGCCCTGCCACCAGTCCAGTGGGCAGGACACCAGCTCTGTGCTCTGCCTGGCCTGACGTGATGAGGAGTTTGATTCCCCCGGGGTGCTGGTTTGGGTGGGGTTTGCACCACCCGCTTTGCCCTGGGAGTGTGGGTTTGCACGAGGGTAGGGTTACCCTTGGGGTGCCAGTCTGCATGGGGTTCGTGCCCTCTGAGTTTCCCATGGGAAAGGGCCCACAACCCAAAGCAAAAAGCATCCAGAGCCACCAGGTCGCCGCTGGTTTCCTGCTGAAGCTATCATTCAGCCTGTGCTAACCCCAGAGCTCGCCAGCGGGCCCCCTCAGAAAGCCAGGCCCCGTGTGACGCTCTGACTCCTCCTAACATACCGGGCCTTCTGGGGAACACAGCCCCCAGGCTTTCTCTGAGCCACGGTGCCCACCTCCTGCCAGGGCCCTGTGCCGACAGCAGTCAGCCAGGTGCCACCTTGCCTGCCCCACGCTGCCCGTTCCAAATGCAGGGCCTGGCTCCCAGCGACTCTGCTGGCCCTGAGGAGGCGGACAAACAGCAGGCGAGAAGATCCAGCAGGGGGTGCCACTTCAGGACCCCGTGGGAATCACGGCTGGCGTCATCAATGGTCTCCCTCTGCCTTGGGACCGAGGAACGAACCCCAGCGCCGAACTGCCCACGCTCTGGTGGGGATCATCTGACTGGCCCGGGACAGGCCCATCTAGGTAAGGATCTGGCTGGTGGATGGGGACGTTGCTGGCTGAAGGGTGAGAGGGACAGGGATAAGGCTGGGAGGCGCGTCTCTGAGCACCCTACTACTCCCCATCCCTGCCCCAAATAGTGGGCTGCTTGTCTGGCCCTCTGTGTCTGTGTCATTGCTGCCTGGGCTCACCCCGTATCCTGGCAGCTCCCGGTCCCATGGTACTGTGCTCAATGGGAGAGACAGAGACCCCTGCTCCATGCCAATGTTGGTTCCGAGGGTGTGAGCCCTGTTCGGCACAGGGGAAACTGAGGCACGGCGCGGTGAAGAACCTTGACCAGACAAGAGAACCCAGCTGTCCTGCCACAGGAGCCCCAGCACCTCTCTTGGAATCCCTCACTCAGTTCCCAGGCAGCTGGAGAATG